TAGAAGTATTACAATCTTTGTATTTCTGGGGGTTTTTTTCTTGCTTGTTTTGTTGGGTTTTTTCCCCTCCCGGTGTCATTTAACTTCTTTCATAAGTAGCTGTTAATATTCTAGAATAATTTCCATGAGAAACAAGTTTGCTGAAAGCTAGAATTTGAAAAAGTCCTCCCTGAACTTGTTTTGCCAGTCTTCTCCAGAATGTCTGTTGGTCACCAGACCTCAGCTACCAAAAAGTTCAAGCTTGTGGAATGTACCTGCATGCTCCCTTTCAAAACAGTATGGAAGGACATTCTTCCATGGTTTCTTTCCACCACTATTCCCTCACTGTGTGGTGTCAGACCTTAAATTAGCAGTATCTTTCTGGAGGAGAAAGAAAAAAGAGAAAATAGTGGAAGATTTTAAACAGCCTGTTTTTGTTATCTCTCAGGACTGCTTAGTTGGACTTGTCCCATAGTCTCCAGGACTATGAAAAATAGTACCAATACATTAAAACCAAAACAATCCCCTCAAAATGCCACAAAAATTCCAAGCAAACAAACCCAACACTTTTATTCCAACTTTGACAGTTCCACTCTGATCATTTATGCAGTAGCTCACCAACCTTGGCTTGTGGTACACAGTGATATAAAGGTTTTGCTTTGTTCTTCAGAAGATGCGCATCCACTTGAGGATTTTCTGTTTGAAGAACACAGGTGCACAAAAACCTGAACTGAATTTGTGCTTGGGAGAATCTAGACTTGCAACTGGTGGTAGTTAGGAGAAGAGACCGGGGTCTGAGATTTACATTAAGAGTAAGCCATTTTGTCTGCCCTCAGTGCTCCTGTGAGGATGAATGAATGTACTTGAGCCCTGATGATTTTTACTGCATAAGAAAAAAGATTGCTTTGTTGAGGGAAAGGTTACTATCAGACAGGGTCAGCAGGAGCTGGGAGGCACTCGGGGAAGCAAGTGCTCATTCAAAGTCTTGGTACAGCTCAGGATCTGTTAGGCTTTAAGTTCTTCCCCATGAGGGTGGTGAGACACTGACACAGGTTGCCCAGAGAGGTGCTGGAAGCCCCATCCCTGGAAGTTTTTAAGGCCAGGCTGGATGGGGCTCTGAGCAGCCTGATCTAGTGGAGGATGTCCCTGCCCATGGCAGGGGGGTTGGAACTAGATGATCTTTAAGGTCCCTTCCAACCCTGACAATTCTGTGATTCTAACTTGTTAGTAGGGACTTCAGTGCCTGCCTTAGAGTGATCAGTATTGCTGAACTGGCCAGGCAGATCAGAGCTGATGCAGATCTTAGTGTGCCATAAATTAGGTGTGGGGTTTGAGCAAGTGCCTTCAAGTGTCTTCCTGCTGCAAAAATGGGTGATGAAAGTAACCTGTCTAAGATGATTTGGGGATAAGCTCTTAAATGTGTGTTGTAGCGAGGCTTACTTTTATTGCCTGCACACTGTGACTTGGCACAAAGGCAACACAGTTAGCTTTTGTAATAGAAGTAAATATTGTGAAAATAAAGCACTGAATATGTGTGTGTTTCAGCTGGTGTAAAGGCTGATGGGTTCTACATTTTCCTGTAACACTTGTCCTGCCAGTGTGTTTTCCTCAATTTATGTCCTAGAATGTTTCATTCAGCCGGATTTCTTATTCTTTTTTTTTTTTTTAAAATTATCAAATCTGTGATTCCAGAAGAGCGAGAAATCGTTTTGTCTTTTTTGAGGAGGAGGGATGGAGTAATGTGATGCCACACAAAATTTTCGGAGATAACTGTGAGGTTGAACAACAGATGCTGGAGTTGTTCCCTTTTCCATAGTGGCCTGCAGTGCAGGTATCTAGACTTGCTGTGCCAGTAAGTGCAGAAAATACCTGCTTCTGGTTCCGGTCATGTTGATGACTGTCTGATATCTGACTTTTCCTGCTGTGTGCAGCGCAGTAGACAGGATACTGCTCTGCCATGTGCCCGTTGCCAGTGTTTCTGAATGGTAAGCAGTGGGATTTTGTTACACAATGTTTTTTTATATTTTTTCCTGAGTGGCACAGAGGAATGACAACAAATGTTTATTAACAAGTCAACACACACCATTAGGTCAGGTTTAGGGTTGTGAGAATGATAAAGCTGCAATGGGGCTGGAGGAAGGTTTCGGCTGCAAATGTTTCTTCCTCTCTGAGTTTGGTTGCTGGAGGTTGTGTCTGAGTGTCTTCACCAAGGGTTAAGATTAGGATTAGTGGTAGGATTAGGACTGGAAGAACAAAGGCTACAGCTGCAGTGGGGCTGCTAGAGGAAGGCATGTACTGCAAGTAGAGTGCTGGGTTTTTACATATCAAGAAAGATGCTCCATGTGAGCCTGAGCACAGAAAACTTTGTTTGTGTGTATTGACTTAGGTAAGAAGAGGTGTATTCAGTGGCTTTTTCGAGAAGCAGGGACAGATAGTAACTGTGTGAGTGAAGGCAACCATTGAGATGCTCTGCATGAACAGAGCGTCTTTTCAGCAAGGTTGGTGGCAGAGCAAGCTTAAGGCACTTGATGTTTTGGCATCAGGACTGTTGCTCTAGATGAGGCAATAAGTCAGAAGTAGCCAGTCTGCTCTGGAAGAAATCTCCCTTTGGCATGTTTTGCAGTGAGCAAGTCCTGGGGGTTTTGGTGCCAGACTGCTTAGAGATGTTTCCAACAGGAGGTAAACATTTTAATAATAGAGACCTTTCTTCCCCAGGCTTTTCCCTCTTGCTTCATCCCATTTCCTCCCTCTTCAGGCTCCAAATGGTGATCTAAAATGTTTATTCCCTGCTCCTTTCCTTCCTTTCATTTTATCCTTCTCCTGTATTTCATCAGGAAGCCCGTAGAAGCCATTTTGAATACTGATTTAGAATGGGCTTTTGCATTTGAGGTTTCCATTAAGACCTTTTATTTTACTTTCTGTTGTTGACTGTGGCTTTTGATCTACACCTGCAGTGTTTGTTATGATGCCTAATCTGTTCCTGTTTGAGTAATAAAGAAGATTGAATGTGTTAGCTAATATATGCCTTTCTTTTTCCTGAGACGGAATAGGCAGATTGGCCCTTGAAATCAGAACAGAGCTATAGTATTTGTAAGAAGCACTTTGACAAAAACCCCAAAACTTAAATTGCCTGGGAAATAATAGTTTTATAAGGTTGTGACTGTGCAAGGCTGAAAATTGTCTGGTGCCTTTTTTAGGAAAAATAAGTAATATTTTTTGTAATAGAAGTTTTCCATCTCTGAAATAAAACTATGGTTATAGGAGAGGACATGTGCAGTTCTCTTCTTGCCATTCTGTGCATCTAGGGTGAAAAAGTAAATTGTTATAAAAGTATATTCTTTAATAATTTGGTTTTAGGACATAATAGTGTTAGATCCTACCTTAAGGAGATGACAGGAAAAGTGCATCAGTCTTCATGAGCTTGGGTTGCAGAGTTTTTAACTGCAAGAAGATCAAGAAAACACCCTCGACACTCAAAAATGCCATTCACATGGTGGTGGTTATGTGGCAGTGGACATGTGGGGGACTCTGTGTAATAACACAAGCACAATATGAGACAGGTCGGACAGAAGCTTTATTAGCTGTCATCAGAGAGAATGTTTAGAATAGCATCTCCCTCTATGCTCCCTTGTTCTCTCCAAATGATTCTGGAGACCCAACCCATATTCTGTGTCAGGGGGAAAAAAAAAAGTTATGAGGAAAACTGATCATTTCAAGGTTAACAGAGCCAAGTATCCCACCTCTGGCAAGGATGGACTCCTTAATGAGCTTGCTAACTGCCAGTGTCTTTAAGAAGGAATCAAACTGTAAATAGTGTGACACAACAGAGAGATGACTCTTGGGTGGAGCGTATAGGAGTGGCACAACTGGTCTTATCTTAGCTCAGAACTAGGGAATTGGAAATGGTCATGGACTGTTAGATTTTAGTTGAAAGGAGTATTCTTTTAGTTAGGACAAACTTCTTAGCCAGACCTCTCAAATATTAAACAAAAATAATTTTAGCACCACAGTAGGCTGCTAGGATAGTCGGTTCTTTAATGGAGAGTGTCAGCACAAAGTGAGATTCCTCTCTTCCATGGCAGCTATTCTCATTTTTTAGAGAGTTTTAAATTGTCATAGACAACTTTATTTCTCCTCAAAGGCCTTCAATATGAAGGGAATGTCTTGACCTGACGGTTCTCTTTCCAATAAATAGGACTGGTTGAATTTTCCTTTGGATAAAAGGCATAAGGGTTTTCTCTTGAGAGGAAGGGTGGTAAAGAGACAGTGTTTGTTGCAACAGGATTTTATAATTAAAATTCCCTGCTTTTAGAGGCTTGGTAGTTTTTTGGAATATTCTAACAATGAGCCATGTCAGCACTTCTCATAGCATGTTCATGGGTGGTGGGAAACTTTAGGGGAGTTGCTGATATTTCACACTGTTCAACTATGCTATCACTGGCCTAATGATGTTTTTACGATGAGGTGGCATTTTTGGGGGCTCCCTTTTAATTTATCTTCTCACATTTATATTTTATGGGGACCTCCATTCTCCACAGGATATGCAAGGGTGGCATTTAATTTCCAGTGCAGATGCAGAACAATAGACAGGCCACCCATAAAGTGCATGTCCGTTCTCACTTTCCTGAAGTGCAGAAATTGCCAGACTGTTCTTCCCAAGCTGTGATGGTACCTGGATGCCTTCTGGCTTTCTTCTCTCAGGCCCTTCCAGGCATGACCTGTCTCTAGGCAATGAAGGCAGACTGTGTGACAAAATTCACCCAAAGCCTTTCAAGGCTGATGTGATTTAGATCAATCTAGAATATAAAATATTTTGAGGTACTCTGCTGTGATTTTTTTTATCCCCTCCCCCAGCCTTTCTTCCTTTCAGTGGTGGAACTTGGGGTATGCATGTGTGCTTTCAGAAGGGGAAAAAGGGGAGACTCTTCCAGCCATGCAGAAATCCTTACGTGCTGGGACCAAATGTTTGATAATTTGGATTTTGTGACCTACGACTCATAAATACTCCTTTCTTGTAACAGGTTGCTGAACGCAATAAAGCCGGGATTGGTAAAAAAGATCAATAGACTACCGACCCCCATTGCAGGTTTGGTGAGTATATCAAACAGGGAAAAATCTTTCAGTGCTGTTTTTTGCACGTTGATTTTACATGACTCTGTGATTCACATAGTTCAAATTACAAAAATAATCGGTCTTTTAACCTGCTGAAGTCAGATAGCCCCTCTGAAATCTGAACTCTCTGTGTAGTCACCTTAAGACCTTCCAGTCTTTTTATTTGTAAGTGGGAAGTATTCAAGAGTCAGAGTATATTTTTAGAGGAAGAATATCTTCTTGGTTATACATCACCTTCCAGTTGTGGTACTTGCTTTAGAAAGATTGGAATGTGTACAGTAGAAGCCATCACCACTAAAAGATATTTCTGTGGAAAGAAAGAAAACTGCACTTGTGTATTTTGTCTCATTTTCTCTTCCCCCAGAATACCACAGTCTGCAGATAACATTCATTGTGGGACTGTCTAGGGAACTGTTTCATGTTGACTTTAAGGGCAGAGTAAAAGTTGGCCATGATCTAAGTGAGGAAGACAACAGAGGATGTGCTGACAGCCTGTGGGTGCTCCATGAGGTCACCTCAAGGGATGGCACAGTCCTGTGTCTGCTGGTGGGGAAGAAGGTGGGGGTATGAATGGGTGTGTTGGGTCTAATAGTATTAACCACATAGAAGTATGGCTGTGTTGATTTTTTTACTTGGATGTGAGTGGGAATAAAAGGGCCCCAGAGCATGTGGAAGGGGCCATCCTTGATCTAGACCCATGATACACTTGCATATGTGGTTCCTTTTTGTTTGGGCACTATCCATGTTCTAGTTTTGTTGTGCCAGGTTCAGAATGTCTTACTTGTTGATAACTGATGTTAACATCCCTTTACATAAACTGAAATTAAAAGTGTCAGTGTATTAGAAACCGTGTTACATTCATTTTTGTATTGGTTCTATAGTCTTTCAGGCTGGGTCCTTCAGCCTGTAGATTGACAAGCCTATTTCTGCATGGGAACTGCCTAGTTTTAGGACTTAATTTATGATCCCTACCACCCTTTCTCTAAAGTTTTCTTGTGTTCTTTCTTTTACCTCTAAATCCCATCCTATTTAAAAGGAATATTTGATATAAACAGCTGCAAAAGATACCAGTAGTGCAGTTTTCTTTTCCTTGGCTCCCTTTCAGGAAATACTCAGGTTTTGTTATGACTGTTTTAAGAGGATGATATTGAATTACATTGGGTTTTTTTCTTATTCATATGTAAAATCCCACAGGTAAGGTGGTTGTAGTAGGAGGGACATAGAAAAAGTCATTATGTGTGTGTGTTTTTCTCATTCCTTGAGATAAATCTCTCTTGCAAGATATGTATCTTCCAGGCATTACCAAAAGAAGCAGCTTAGAGGGTGCTAATGATGTAGCAGAATGTTTCTGTGTTAGAAAGTGACTTTTTTACATCTGTCCCTGTGTCCTCTACTTACCTTTAGTAATTAATTTTCTAAATATTTTTCCTAATAAATAATTAGGCTATTATCAAAGCTTGCTGGTGCTTCTGGCTTCTTGAAAATTACCAGTAGGTGCTTTTATCTCGTGTTCTGTGAGTAAATTGCTCTAAAGTGAGCCATCCGAATGTCTCCTTACTTTCAAAGGTGTCTAGTTCCATACTTCCTGACTTGTTTTGCCATGTTCTATCTAGCAGTAAGTGGCTGTTTTAAGGCTTGTACGTGAATTTAAATGATCAAGTGTTTTAGCCTGTTATGCTGATTTGTGGTGTATCATTTTAAAGTACAGACATCATGAGTATGTTTGAGCACAGAGTGTACATTTTTATTTTCTCTTACCTGTACCAAGACCATGTATATGCAAAAAAAAAGATAAAAATATTGACACTACAGTCCAGAAGCAGTTATACCTACTAGATAGTCCCCCACATTTGAAGGACGTTCCTGCATTTGTTTTGAGTTTTTCTTTATTATCTTAGCTTTGGTTGGCTTGACGCAGGATGTAGTTACTGCTTTCCAATTATTTCACCCCAGTGAGTGTGATTTCCTCCAGTACCCACAGAAATGCTGTGAAAGCTTCACTACCTTTTCTGCCTTGTGTGACAATCTGTGAACTCCTAGATACTGCTTCTGCCTAAAAACTGTAACTTAATCATTCTAACAGAATTAATTTATTTGCTCCCAATAGCTGATGGAATATTTAGTTGAGTAGTAGAGACAGTAAGTAGGTTTTATTTTGTACAGAGTAGGAGCTAAAACTTACGAGTAATTGTGAAGTGCTCAAAGTGCCTTTTGTTTCATCTTCAACCTCCAGAGACCCAGTCAGTCATATATTATGTAGCTCTACTAAACGTCTGCTTGGGTTGAATTCTCCAGATGATACTCGATTTTCCTCTTCTTCATTTGTCCTTACAATAACAAAAGTAGGCTTTACTGAAGAAATGTAACAGTAAACTTGAAGCCTGTATTGGAGACATGCTGAGATGTTCACCTGGGAGTATTATCAGGTGTAAAAAAATTTTTTCTGTATGTCATGTTTGAGTGACTTCTCATGACACTGCTGTGAAGTATTATGCCTAACTGGTCTCGTGTTGACAGACTGAATTCTTCAAACTTTTCCTGGTGTTAAAAGCTAGATGAATCTGCAGTTGCTCTGAAATTCTTACCGGTGACTTCCTCAGGTGGTTTACAAGGCACTGGCTTATTTACACGCCTTTTGTATACCACAGCACCAATCATGTAAGCCAAATGTATTGGTTAAAGTGTTGTAGTGTTAAAGTAAGGACTTGAGGATCTGCCCACCACCGTACCAAGCGCAGGCCATATAAATACACAAAGGTAGTCTTTGTCCAGTCGCAAGTCTAAGTCAGGATGTGGACTGCATGCAGCATTACATATAGAATTACATATGTTCAGCTCGGCAGGCTTGTTTGTAACGTACTTTGATCTCCAGAAGTGCCGACTGCCTCTCTTATCACAGCAGAAATGATACATTGCTTTAATGAAAAAAAAGTAGGACCAACAGTTTGGTATTCAGACTACAGCGAGTACTAAATTTGATTAAATGCTTTCTCTTTTCTGTTCAGTATTCATCAATCCAGAAGGCTAATGTTCCCACCAAAAACAAATCCACAAAGCAATCAAAGAACGTATTAGACCTAGGTTGGTATAACAGGCTTTGCTGAAAGAGTCACGTTGCCAGAAGACATTTTCTTATTTCAGAAGTCGATATTGAACATCTTTGTTTTAAGACTGTCAGCTTTCCAGAAGCAATGTGTCATGTATTTAATTGGCCAACGCTGGAAAATATTTTGGCCCAGTTATTAATTAAAAGACCATCTGAAGCTGCAGAAGTCTTAAAAAGATGGATTATTAGGGTACAATGGTTATAAATAATGTATTTAACCTAAATACCTTTGTAACCCTAAATTTTACAAAACTGGCAATTTTTTCAGTGAGTTGCTGTTGTTTTTTTTCAGTTTGTATGACACTGATAGTGGTCACAACTAGTTTTTAAGGTTTCTACAAATTCCTGTTTTGTACAACCCTGACTTATTATATATTTAATTCTATAGCAATAAAAATATTCAAAGCTTATTATAGATAAGCTTTGCTCTATAATGCTACAGGCTGGATGTTGACTATCTTTTTCCCTTAAAAAAATTACTAGTTTTTGCTTCCTGTCACTGAGTAATGTCACTCTGTGAGAAAAGAAAAGGTTTCTGCCTTATCTTTTGTTTGACAGAGTTTAGGAGGGTTTATAACATTACTTCAGTTCCTTGAACAATCCCCACAGGAGCTCAGACGCTTACTTCAGAGGCTGTGTGAAAGCATCTCACATATAATAGTAGGAAATAGTCAAGACAGAGTTGGAGGGCTGAACTTTAGCTTGCGTCTTGGCTCATGTTTCAGCACTACTGAATAAAAATCTGTTTATTTATTGTGGCATCCAGTTTTCAGCTTGTGTTAGGTCCTCAACTTTGTGACATTTGTACGATCTAGCAGTGGAAAGAATAACTCTGCAAAAGTCACCTGGTCGCATGGTTATTGCACCAAGATGAACAGAACTGTTAATGTGCTATTTGAAAAAAACTTGTTCCATTGAAAACAAGTTGGAGTTTTTTTCTATAATTATTTTCCTAGGAAGTTTCTCTTGGCAAAATGTTCTCTGGGAACTTGATATGAACCTTTTTAAGAATAGCTACCTGTCTGCTGGCACTGCTAATTTACTCTTATGCTGTACTGTTGCATAAATTACAGTATTTTTTTGATGTCATATGATGTCTCAAAGACAATTCAGCATTGTGTTAATTTTCAAGAGTTTGTGCTTCTAATGAAGTTCAATAAGTTAGATTTTTTTTCTTCATGCAGATAGGAACCTGGAAATAAAATTACAGGACCCAAATATAGTGCAGTGCATTTCACAGAATTAAAAATAACTGAAGAAGATAAATACAGGGAACTAACAGATAGGCAGTCCTTTTAAAAAAAATTAGTGGTACTATTTTTTTTCCTTAAAAAGTATCTTATTCTTCCTTTTAATTTTTCAATCTCCCTTTAATTCTTTACAGTACTTTCTGGAAAAATTCTTTGTAGTACTTTCTGAAAAGAGCCTATTCCTGTTGTAGTATCTAGATTCATAATACATGATAATTTCTGTTTCCTAAGTTTGTACTACTTCTTGCTGCTGGACAAATTTATTTGCCAGCACAATTGTATCTGTAAAAATATCTTTCTTTGTAAGTTGTGGTACATGTGAAGTAAACAGAAGCAAAATTTCCCAACTGTCTAAAACCAGTAAGTTCTTGGCACTCACATCCCAAAATGATTTCTGTGAATGTTGTTGGAAAGCAAAGTGTCAACATCACAGCAAAATGCTGCACAATCCGTTCTGCCGTGGTTTCCATGGATCTTCCTTGCTAAATGGTGATTGGCTTCTCTATACTTCCTATGCCTCCCTTCAGATCTGGTGTCTGAATATTTGACTAAAACAATACTTAGGGTCTGGCCAGCAGCACTGTGTACTTTGGCTCATCACATACTGTAATATATATTCAATC